AGGATCCCCCTAATAGTGAAGACGTCAATTTTTGGTGGACACGAATTAGTCTGGCCCAGACTAATTTTGAAGCCAGACTAATTTTGAGCCCAGACTAATTAATGTAGGCACTGTAGTTGAACTGCAAGGTGCCCTTGCATCATGCGCAATGTCCATTGGCGTTCGCCGACCAGATGGAGAGTTGAGACCGCGGTCACTTCCGAATTCGCATCCTTGGACCACTGGAATCTTTCCTATCCACCGTCGATGCTAGCGTTTCTTCCGACGTTAGCAGCGTCCGATTCGCGGCAGAATGTAGTCACCTCTGCGCTTATTGCGCTACTACTGGGGGCGTCCACGTATGCGACGCTGAGCCACATCGAACGATCGAGAGCGAAACATCAGCCCCACAAGGAAGGGCTCTCGGTGCCGAGACCGAGCACCACGCTGCCGATTATGGGCAACACACTGGACTTCGTCAAGAACAACGACGTGTTTCACGACTGTGTGTCGAGTCTGGTACAGGAATTCAATGGGGAGCCATTCCTGCTGAGCGCTCCAGGACGTCCCGATATCCTCGTGGTCTGGACGCCCGAAGCGTTCGAGGGTGTGGCCAAGCGGCAGTTTGACACATTCGTCAAGGGCGAGTAACTCCACGAAATGTTCTACGATCTCCTGGACAACGCGCTCACCAACAATGACGGCGAAGTATGGCAGTTCCAACGCAAGATATTCGCGAAGTTGTTCAGTGTGCGAGCGTTGCGTGAGTCCATAACCTCGACGATCCAGAAGCACGACCGCACCTTGCACACGCTGTTTGAGAACGCTGCTGTATCTGGTGAGAGCTTCGACCTTTTCCGCCTTCTGAGCCGATTCGCGATGGAATCATTTGCCGAGATCGGGTTTGGCATCCAGATGGGCTCCCTTGCCATCGGGGAGGACCATCCCTTTGAGAAGGCCTTCGATATCACCGAAGAAGCGACGGCGAAGCGATTCTCGGAAGTTGAACGCAACATATGCTCGAGAGGATCCCGCGGCTGGCACTCGAGACGGGATACTTCCCGACCATGGACGAAGTGCAATCGCTCACGTACATCGAAGCCGCGATCAAGGAGACGCTGCGACTATATCCTCCTGCATCAACCGCAGCGCGGACACCTTCCTCTCCGACGGTACGTTCGTCCCGGAGGGCACCACGATTGGTCTGCCTTCGTACGCTATGGGACGCATGGTCAGCAACTGCAACGAGTACAAGCCCGAGCGCTTCCTGGACCCGGGCACCGGCAAGTTGCTGTCCGTGTCGGCGTTCAAGTTCCCCGCGTTCTTCGCCGGTCCGCGCATTTGTGTCGGCATGAACCTGGCCATGCTCGAGATGAAGATCGTGCTTACAGGCCGCGTCACCGTTCAGCCTGGCCAGGAGGTCACGTACGTTCGATCTCTCGCGCTGCTGATGAACCCTTTCATGGTGAAGATTGAGAAGGTCTCGCCGTCCGTTGTCCCAATTGCCTAGGCGTGAGACCTGAGTAATTATTCGTAGCACACCAATGTCCATAATATGGACATATTATGTCGATCCTAGTTAACCATTAACACGACCGTCTTCTCTCGTAAGATAGCTGGGTCAAACACGACCTTGACCTCCTCCTCGACCCTCTCCCTGGTGTACTCGACGGCTTCCAGCGCCGCAACGTTGACGTTGAGTTGCTCCAGCACAGCTCGTCCCTGCTTGCTCTCCCCTCCACAGGGGCCGAGGGCTTGTGTAGCAGCACCTTGACGCTCTCGGGCGTGGCCAACTGGTCCAGGCACTGCTTGGTCTCGCTCTGGTCCTGCGCGTACAGTCTGTGGAGCACTGTATTGGCCGCGCGCTCCGCTCCGCGCACAAACCCGGGCAGATCCACGCGCGTGTGGGTCGGAAACTGGGACAGCACGTACATGGAGCTGCGCACCTCGTCAGACGCCCCCGACACGAACACGCGCGGGTTGGCGCGACTGTAGCGCACGAAGTCCGTCATCCCGTTCAGCACGCGGCTAGCTATGGCCAGGCCCCGCATGGACAGGTACTCGTCATCGATGCCCAGCCAGTCCTCAGGTCTGCTGGAGAAGCTGCGGCGAGCTGGGGACGGCCGAGCGCTGCGGCAGCGACGCACGACGCGTGAAGAGGTACGTAGCATTGGCATTGCGACTTGGATGCTGGGCGACAATGTGTCCACATCGTAGACACTATTTTAACCGATCAGAGAAGTTAAGTGAACTCATTCATTCGGCCAATCCGCGTGGAGAACCGAATCCACTTCAACTTGGTAGCCGACCTTTGCCAACAAAACGGGAAGACACCGATGGAATCGCGCCTCTTGTTATTATGTCTGTCTTCCTGCAGAAGCTCTCAACCTCCCGAGTCTACGCGACGCGGTGGAGTTTCGTGGCGTCTCCGTGTAAGCGCGGCGCCCCCTGAACGACCGCCGGCACAAACGTATCCACCTCCTGTATCGCACGGCGCGCGCGCGGTTGCCATCTCTACTATAATAGTGCTATACTATAATAGTGATGTCCTTGAGGAATCTATCAAGGCACTTGGCATTTATAAGTCTCAGGACGCGGTTGGACCAACTTGGAGAGGTCCAGCAGTCGCAGTAGAGGAGAAAATCATCAAACACGCATCGTACGATATACTGCAATGCGCTGCGTAAAGGATGCTGCAATGTTCCTTGACAAGCACCTTGCTTCAAGCAGGCGGACAGGTGGCTGTGCCAACAACAGCACTTGCACTGCACTGCACCGACCATACATTGAGATCGAGCTGCGACCCCATAGCATGGCGACGGCGGAGCCTGCGCCGGATCTATTGCCTTGAGCAGTACTTAGTACGCGATGTACCGGCATCAGTCCTCCTCATTCGACGCTCCGCTCGTCGTGAGCACTGCCGGCTTCTCTTCAAACGGCGTGGCTGTCACGATGCCCCACTCCAGATCTTCCGGGTTTGTGACATCGGCCTCGAACGTCCACGTGAACCTCGTGTTGATCGCACGCCGGTCCTCAATGCCATCTCCACCCTCAGGCGAGATCAGCAGGTGCTCTCTGACGTCGTACTGCACGCGCAGCGTGAGTAACTCGGAGACTCGCTCCTGCTATAATTGTGGTGAAGCCGGGCATCTAGCCAGAGATTGGCCAGGTAACGAGAACAGCGGTGACAAGACATCGACTCGAGTAACGCTGGCCGTCGGGACCGGCACGAACGCGGACTCGTGCACGTGGATCTTGGACAGCGGGTCCAGCGTGCACTTGGTGAAGAACGAGAAGTTGCTGCGGAACGCCGTCGACTGCGACGAGCAGTACCGAGCGGCTATCGGTGATCCTATACACGTGGTCAAGAAGGGCGCGGTGGTGCTGCGGACGATCGTGGACAGCAATGGGGTCATCGTGGACTTGTCCGACGTCTACTACGGCGAGGACCTGCTGGACAACATCATCAGCTACGGCATCCTGGAGGAGAAGGGTGTGTGCCACGGTGGCAAGAGCTAGATGGTCCAGGGGAACACTGGCATGCGGATCTTCGAGGTCTACAGGTGCAACAAGGTGCTGATGATCGACGCCATGGGCGAGATGACCACGGAGACGCGCGTCAACGCGGTAACGGAGGCAGTCAAGGCAGCGAGCGAATCGCTCGAGGATACCGTGACGGAGTCGACGCTGCTCGAACTGCACAAGAGGCTGGGCCACATTGCGTACGATACTGTCGAGCGCATGGCCGACACGCCTGGATCTGGTATCCGGCTGACAACCAGAGAGTGCCCCAACTGTTTGACCTGTGCACAAGGCAAGCAGAGCAAGAACAATCCGTCCAAGAAGGACACGGGCGCGACCGCACCGATCGACAAGATTAGTGGCGTTATCGGCAGTGACATTAAGGGCCCCATGACCCCGAGGGACAGGCGCGGCAACAAGTACCTGATCAACTTCATCGACTACTCGACGAACTACGTGCGCGTCTTCCTCGCGAAGAATAAGGCGGATGCTACAAAGGAGTTTGAACACTTCTTAGTGTACTTTGAAAAGCGATTCAACTGCCGGATTCATGTGCTACGTACCGACGGAGGCAAGGAGTATGTGAACGTGGACCCGTTCTGCAAGGAGACAGGCGTCAGACGACAGATTAGTGACCGCGAGAATCAAGCATCGAATGGCAAAGCAGAACGAATGCACCGCACCGTGCTGAACGTAGCGCGCTGCATGCTGTTTGCGAGTGGTTTGCCGTTGTACTTCTGGGGGGACGCGGTGAACAGGAGCTCGTGCAGCGCGAACCCCAAGCGCATGTCTCCGCTCAAGATGCTGACGGGCAAGGTGCCGAACTTGTCCGACATCGTCACGTTCGGGAGCCCGTGTACAGCCTACAGAGATCCTGGCAAGAAAGCGTGGAAGACGAGAGCACAGGTTGGTATGATCGTGGGCAAAAATGGTGAGACGCAGGGCTTCAAAGTGTACCTACCGAAGGACAGGATCGTGATCACCACCCAGCACATGAAGAACGTGGAGACGCTGGACAGCAAGCAGAACGCGCAGCTGCAGGCGCAGCTTGAGCGCGAGGACCCCGAGCTGAAGAGAGCTGTTGAAGAACGCGAGCAGGCCGCGGAACGGAAGGAGCCCGTCGCGGACTCGTCGCAGATCAGTGAGACGCCGAAGGTGCCCGAGAGCGGCGACCCGGCGGTGAAGTCGAAGAAGAGCAGCAAGAAGAAGAGAACCGTTGCAGCAGAAGACGCTGCAAGAGTGGAAGGAGCAGGCGCTGATGAAGAACAGCTACCAGCAGAAGAGGTGCAGCCTACGCGCATGCGCACGCGCTACATGGGCAAGAAGCACGTGTCCGTTGGTAGCGTGAGCGCGGTCATGCTCAAGGACCCGAAGAACTTCCGCGAGGCGATGAGGGACCCGCGCTCAGAGCAGTAGAAGCAAGCCATCAGAGAGGAGATCGAGGCGCTGGAGCAGAACGGCACGTGGAAGGTGGTGAAGAAGCCGGAGAACGCAAAGCTGCTGCACACCAATTGGTGTTCAAGCTGAAGACGCACGCGGATGGTACCATCGAGCGGTACAAAGCTCGATTGGTGGCGCATGGCGACGAGCAGGAGTACGGGGTTGACTATACGTACACCTTCTGTGCCGTGCTCGACATGGAGTCGGGCAAGATCATCTTGGTGGTGTCGCGCAT